TTCTTCCATTTCATACCATTCTTGCCGAATTCTCCTGACGCTTGACTGGCAGCATATCAGTTCAACATGCGCACTCGTTGAACTACCCAAAACTGGTTATTAACGAAAATCTAAACTGATCAGATCGTGTAAGAATTGTGTCCATTAAAGTTCATAGAACATCATATTATTTACTCAAGCTGCATGAACTGCCAATATCTCTCCATAGATGCAATACTGATATTTGTCCATGGTTGCCTTATGGATTAACTGATCTACGCTGACCCGTGATGTATAGATAAAAGACCATACGGTTCTATGATGAGCAGATAAACCGTTCCGTTGATCGCCCGGATCAGTAACATCAATGAAAATGCTTTCGGAATTGACCATAGTCGAGGTCATCAATCACCTGGCTCCCGTAACCTGCAGCACATGGAGATTAAGAAAGCTTGTTCGCAGCATGCTGGCATAAGCAGCAGCTACACAGTGATGCTGTTCAATCACAGTGTTTCGGTCGCGACTACACCGAGACTCAGAAGAGCAACAAATCCGCATTTTTGAAGTCTTGTGAGAGAACATACGAACGTTGACCACTGTGCAATACGTATATATGCTGAACTGGATGTATTTTAAAAATTGCTGTGGATTTCCAAGTGACAGTGAATTCTTTATGTGCTGATTGACGGACAAATTACATAACTTCGTAAACTTTGGCTGATCGATGTTGATCTGTCATATCTGCAATTTGTCATCATGACTTCTTTGGAATAACGATGGGCGTTTCTGCACCAGCAACGTCCCTGATGAATTTATCCCGTCATTAATAAGTCCGTGCCTATTCTGACACAGAAACGTAGAATGTGCGTTGAATACCTTTGTTCCATTGCAATAAGCTAATGGCAGTGCCTATCACAAATTCTGTGGGATCATACAGGCACACTTAATTAGAGAGTCTTAATCCTAAAATTAGTTCTAATTTCAACAACTTGCTGAGAGATCAGTCTTAACACAAAATGCCGAACTCTGCAAGCCGCTATCCGCTTCATCCTGCATCATCGATGGGATGGCTGGACCATAAGTGTCGAAGACGTGAGGAAACTGGTTTTTGCGAATGATCATGATGGAAAAGAATTATCAACCATATATCCAACTCCAAAATCGGTGCCCTGTGTAATGTTATCCAATTCACTTTTGTCCTGCAAGAACAGCGACTGCGTTGCCTTCGACATGTGCTGATATGTTACTCAGACAATATCACCTCCCTTACACTGAACGCCCTCTATTATCACTGTACGAAACCAGAAAAGATTCTGATTCAGACTTGGCCGGATACGTCAGAGCTGTCGTTGAAGTCCTCCATGGGCAATGCGTGGCAACGAACGGGGTAAAACAGTGGCTGAGCTCTGTGGCAGCACTGTGAGTGACTTAGAGTTCGAATGCACCGATCCGATACGGCATTGGGGGCAATTAAACCAGTGATGATGACAGCCATTACAGCAACAATGTGGGACAACGTAATGCGGCCTGTTGCTCGATTTTTCCACATTCACGTGGATGCCATAAATACCGATGCGCATTTAGTTTCTGTACATTTTCTACCCTACTTCGATCGCGTATTATGCATACTCTAGCTGATAGCTCGTCCGGAAGCCTTCAGTAAAGAAAGGTCGGTAAATTACGTTATACTTGCTAGCTATCGCTCTCCATCGGTCACACATCGCAAATCCAGAGGACGCCTATCCTCCGCTGAGCCTGTTTTTGTCCCTTGAACAAATCGACTAGGACGAAATGCATTGCCAAACTAAACCATTTTCTTTTCACTTGCGTTTATTAAATCTCGTCTTATAGACAGTACTCCTTGGCATGCTTATTGCACCATTGTTGGAAGAGACAGACGTTTGTCGTGTTCCTTCGGGCACATTTAAAAACACGTCCCCACGCACTTTGACAGCATGCTTTACACCGTCATTTACACTATCCAAATCGTTTCATCGTTTAGCATACAGAAAAATCATAATCGTTATGATGGAAGATGGTCCATAGGAAGATTCAATTGTTTGAGCAACTTGCCGTCAACCTTATTTCAAACTGCGATTTTATTTTATGGCATAACCGGTAACTGAATTCCAGAAATAAAAAAAAAACTTAATTCAAACTCTCAACGCAACATGAGCAACGCAGCTTGCAAAAATAAAACAGGCTCGTTAGACATTTAAAATTTATGAACAATTATTTGAACTGACATGAAATTTCAGCGATATCCAGGTAAAACCGTAAAATCGCACAAATACAGAATTATAAAACTCTGTTAAGAGCGAATAGAATATTGAGGAACGTGATTCAGATGAAAGTAATAAAATTAGCAGGAAAAAGCGATGCCGTAAGAACATATGGTAGCCGTCAATTCAGCTACATCGGAAATAACAGACAAATGCAAACCACAACCATATTAGAAAAGTTACAAAATATAACACGCCGAACAACCGAACAACTGAAAATCTTCTTTACGTTTTCTGCCAGTAAACCTTTCAGAAGCACATCTCGTTTGAAATAAAAGCTTTTACAACATTTCATCCAGCTGATTTGTCCGTTCTGTCTATGAACAAAATGGCAATAATCTTTACAATAACATAATTTTTATGATGCTCTTTATCATTAAGAGCATTATAGAAATTCAGTGAAAACTCACTTGCATAGTTGAATGGTAAAATTTGTTGAGTTTCTGGTATATCGTTGATCGAAATAGCAGCGAACTGCGTAATCTGAAAATCGCTGTACAAAATTTCAAGTTTCAAGAAGCACTTCTTACCGGCGGTAATTTATGCATCTGGCTAAACGTTGGAGTAAAAAAGGCAGAGCTGGTCGAAAATCCTGTGCTTTCTGGAGGCAGCTGACAGGCGTTAGAAGGCCACAAGGATGTCATGTTTAAACCACAATTCGGAACAGGCATTTTTTGTGGAAGAAACTGCGCCTCGGGCTGTTGCTGGATGGCGGAAAAGCCATTTTGTGGGCATCTATTTTGGTCGTTTAAAGTTTCTTGGTATTCAGTACTGCAATGACCATTGAAAGGGTATCCTGTGGCATTCATCAGAAATTCTCTACCAGTGTTACAACAGAAACCCAACGAACAACCACAGGCATTCACGATTACACGCGGATCAGGAATATAATGAACACCTAATATAGCCATAACAAGCATTTAGAAGGTCGTGACGTAGCGTTATTACCGGGTATCAAGTGATTATTTGGGAAGTTAACAACGACCGGCAGTCCAAATTCTGGATGAAGCCTGCAATAGCTCTGTGGGATGCTGACGGTCGGTACTGAGTTAAAATCATATGCAGGTGAATGAACAAGGCAAATATTCTGAGCGAAACCACGATTTTCAGGCATTATATAAGGCACGTTTTCCATCGGTGCATGGTATAATTGAGAAGGCGGCATAAGACCAGGATCAAGGCACTGAAACAGGCTGCAGATAACACGACATCGACGAAGTCAGACATTACCTTTTAATGCGACAATATGCATCTTAGGCTTTGAATAACATGGCAAAAGCTTAGAAGCACATTCTCATCATACGTAAGGACATACGTGCAGATACAGGCAATGCATGTATGTCGGATATGCTAAGACCTAATCACATATCTGACACTGAACATGATACTTTTCTTGCTTTTAGTGTCATTCTCCTATTCTGCCCAATCTCAAAAAGCATGAGACATTTTCTCACTCATTTCTATAACGAACTATTACTACATGGCTGTTTCAAAGCTGATGAGCATTGCGGCTACTGTAGCGGCTCAGGAGGCTGCACTACATCGTACATTAACTCCTCATGCAATCGTGTGCTTTAATGACTGCCTGTTCTCAAATACCGAAACATTGAAGTTGGATTACGAAGAGTAGTCATGAAGACAAATAGATTTTGATCAAAGAACGGGATCACGTGTCGAATTAAGTGTGGGTAATGCAATTGTTCCCCAATGTTTCTCAACAATGTAGTAAATGAAAAACCCATCCAAACCCAGACACAATCGGCTGTTGATATATCCTGTGTTACGGCAAAATATAGGTCAGAAAAGCTTATAACCTCATCTTTTTTCTTCAAAGAATCAGAATAAATTTTCCATCTTTTGGCCAATATATGACACTAACTGCAGATTAGCAGGCAAAACTTGTCTACACATTCTGCCATGTACAAAAACTGATTCTTTATTTTCATTCTCTACTAATCCTTTCTAGTTGCAGAATTAGCAAGGTCAGACGGCTTTCAGATTTTGCAACAGACCCACTCTTCTGTCAATGAGACGAGTTCTCTGTGAATTGGATTTCAAAGTTAAATGCATAAAATTGTGATGTTTCGATATGGCCAAATCATATGACCTAAATCTTCCCACTGACTGCCTGTCCGTGGCTTATAAAAATTATATATTAAAATGCCTAAAATGGTGTTCACTCACAACATCTTCGAAAGATCATGATTGTGAACTCTCAATATACAAAGAGGCAGATCACCAAAAAAATGTGTTTACAGGGTACCACTGCCATGCCTGAAACCACTTAAAGCCCATCGTGCCAAAAAACCCCCATTAGATATCTTATTTCAATTCTCTGTCAATTGGTTACCTTCATTATACTTTGATTTATTCAAATAAATCTTATCCCGCTGCATCGAAAAAAATGCTTGTTACGTTAAAAGCATTC